ATCGTTGAATGACCTGTCTGGCATCTTTCACACAAACCTCAGTTGCCACAGCTGGAATCACTCTACTTGGAGCTGTGGGGCTGCTCTGGTCTTAGCTTTAGATCATCCATTCTCCAGTGTGGTCTCCAAACCAGGGTCAACAGCACTTTCTGGGGAACTCGTAAGCAAAGTTAATTCTTTGGTTCTGTCCCAGCGCTACTGAATAGAAATGCTGTGTTTTCCCAGGTCGTCAGGGAATATACATTCAGCTTGACAACCACTGAAAGAAGACAAACCTTAGCTTCATTGACTAGGATAATTCAGCTCTTGGAGCTTTGTACTTGAACCCTAATTGATCGTAGGACCCTGTTGACTTCCAATGGGATCTGCTCACATGTTTGAGTAAAACTTCAAATAAAGACTATATTGTCCCTGTTCCCGTGTCTCACACCTTCTAGAAGATAGCAATGTCTTCTGCTGATGGTGTGTTTTGCTATCTCCTTCACTGCTACCGAGTATCTCCATTTTCCCAGTAGGGAGCATGAGTTTATTTTCTAATTCTATATTCTACCTCCTCATCCTAACTAACACTACTCTACTGCAAATAAGCTTGAGTGAAAATGCAATACAGCCCGGGCTCCAGTGGACCATGCCTACAATCCCAGCTACCCAGAAGGCTGAGATCTGAGGATCTCAGTTCAAAGCCAACCCAACAAGAAATCCATGAGAGTTTCCTCTTCAATTAACCACCAAAAAGCCAGAAGTGGAGCTGTGGTTCAAATGGTAGAGCACTAGCCTTGAGCAAAATAGTTCAGTGATGGCCCCCAGCCCCTGAGTTTGCACACACACACACACACACACACACACACACACACACACACACAACATTCAACAAGGTAGAAACCTAGTTGTTGGGGGCTGGAAAGGTGGCTCAGTGGTAGAGTGCTTGCCTTGCAGGCATGAGGCCCTGGGTTCCATTTCTTAGCACCACATAAGCAGAAATAGCCGGAAGTGGCGCTGTGGCTCAAGTAGTAGAGTGCTAGCCTTGAGCTGAAGAGCTGAGGGACAGTGCCCAGGCCCAGAGTTCAGGACCCACAACAGACAGCAACAATAACAAAAAAAAAAAAAAAAAAACGTAGTTGATGGCCCTGAAGTTAATCTGACACGGGTTTAATTTCACATTCTCTAAGTCTCAGTCATAGGAATAAAATAGAAATAATATCTACCTCACAGCATTGCTGTTAAAGTTACATGAAATACTATACATAATCTTTTGTGGCATTTCTGAAGCATATTAAGTAAGTAATATATAAAATGTAACACTATAATATGGAATACAATGTACTGTGATTGTGACCCATGCAGTTTGTGAATCATATGGTATTTATTCATGGGTGATCTTCTGCTCCTTCATGAAGTCTGAGGAAATTTCCCATATTTTCCATTTATATAATTTGAGCAAGGATCTCCTTTCAAAATACAACTGTAAACAAGTTCCTCAGATGTCAGCCTCCTTGAGTATCTAGTATTACAGGTGTGACTCACCAGTAGTCAGCAAATGTTGCCATTTCTAGTACTTAAAAAATGTCATTAAATTTATTTTTTACCAGAATTCCAAAAATAAAATTGATTCATTGTAGAATATCTGGAAAATATAGTAAAGCTAAATATGAAAGTAAAAAGCATGGGTAATTCTACCATGAATGAGATTATTTAAATCAAATAATAATATCAATATTATTTGTGTGTAGATAAATAACATACATTTTATATATAATACTATTTATATATTTTCTTTCTTTTTTTTTTTTTTTTGGTCAGCCATAGGGCTTAACTCTGGGCCTGGGCACTGCCCCTCAGCTCTTCAGCTCAAGGCGAGCACTCTACCACTTGAGCCACAGCGCCACTTCTGGTTTTCTGGTGGTTTATTAGAGATAAGAGTCTTACGGACTTTTCCTGCCCAGGCTGGCTTTGAACTGCGATCCTCATATCTCAGCCTCTTGAGTAGCTAGGATTACAGGCAGGAGCCACCGGTGCCTGGCTATCTATATATTTTCATACATATAAACATATGTTTTTGTGTATATATGTCTATGTGTGCACATATACACACAGAACAATAGATAAGCAACATCTATATCCTACATCTCTCTCTCACACACACATTCTCTCTCTCCTTCTTTCTTTCTCTCTCTCTCATTCTTCTCATCAAAATTGAGAGCAATTGATCTCTCCTACAGCATTTACCTCTTATGTCTTTGTTGGTATTGAGAGATTATAAGATAGAAGAGCAGTGGAAACTGAGGATGCAGACGGGCTATCTCTCCCGCAGAAGACAATGGGAAGTAAGTGGAAAGTTGGGTCTAATGTTGGGAAGACATCCATTGTATCCAAAAATAAAAACAAACAGCCAGCCTAAGCATCCATGTCTTTATTTAAAATTTCCTAGCTTTGAAAGATCAGCTCATATAATAATAATAATAATAACAGAAACACAACACTAGGTAGTCAAGCAAAACCTAAAACCCTAAAAACTAAAAACTAAAAAGCCTTTCTAGTTGAAGCCAGCCTACAGGTCTAATTTCCATCCTCTCGGTGGGTTATACTTTCTACATCTCTATTTCTTCCACACAGCCCATTGTACCATTGGGCATACATTGGGTAAGCAATCCGTTTACCGGGTCAAAGATGATATTAGCCACAACCAAGATAAGCCATTCAAAATGAATGTTAAAATCTTGTTTTGATTCTGAGTGTTCCGTCAAAGAGCCTTCCTAAGATAACATGAGAGAAAATTCTTTCTCTAGGACCTAAAACAAAACCTTGTTTCCTGTACTTTGTACTAACTCAAGAGCTCTGTCAGCACTCAATAAATAATAAATTACAGTCATTTAATTACAGCTTTTATGCATCCAGGTCATGTTATTTTTGACTTCATATTTGCAGTCAAATTTTCTACCATTTTAAGGAGAAAGCAGCAAGGGGATAAAAGACAAACAACAGCCAAGCAATGGTCTAAAAAAGAAATGGCAGATTTTACCTGTGCCCTAGAAATGCTGAGTCAGGTGAGGAAAATAGAAATGAAATGAAGCCAGCTGGATATCTCTTAGCAAGCAATGGAGACGCATCGCAAGAGGATCTGGGATCTATACCATCACCTCACGTCGTGCACCAAAGGGCATTACCTAAATGGGAGGGAAGCACTTCCAGAAAAAGTTCTAGAGATGAACTAATAAAAGTCACTGTCTTAGAGTCAGATACACAAAGGATCTAGCCCAGAATCTTGTAAACAGTCTTGAATGTAGGACTTGTCCAGAAACTAAGAAACTAGAGAGTATGAGACAAAAGAGATCAGCTGTAAAGGAAAGAAACAGGTGAGAAGATAAACATCATTAGGTCTAGAACACCAAGCTGGAATAGCTCCATTGGCCGTCACTGGAAAGGGATCTTCCAAAAGGAGAAAGGAGAGCAGTAACATAAAACCAACACTGTAGGTTAACAGCCCTCTCCAAAGGGACAGAATCCTGTCAGAACCAGATCTTTAATGGCACCAGGAGGTGGAAAATCAAGTTCAACAAGGTACTCAACACGTAACACCAGCTGTGTGACCAGAGAACTTCTGGTTCAAGTAATAGAGGTCAAAGATTAGTTTCTCTTTTCAATGCTTTTGTTCTAGATGAGAAAGTTAAACACATCTGTTAAAGAATCATCAAATACTGCTACTATATATATATATACTATGTTTACTATGTATACTGTATATAGTATATATATCATATCTACACATATTTAGTATCTATGTATATATAGTATATTTACTATATATGTATGCATATGTATATACAGATATGTGTGTACATATGATATACATATACACATATACATATTCTCTCTCTATATATATCCGATCTACAGGTTGGATTGCTTCATAGGTTACATTTGATTGAGTAGTCAGGGAAGAGAAGATTTCCATCAGCTGAGTTTTTAATGATGACATTAATGATGAGAAGGAATCTGCTAAGCGAAGTTGTAAGAAGCTCACGCCTTGAGAGAGAGGAAGTAATGACTTCTTGTGGTTGAACATAAACAGCAAAGCTCAATTCTGCGAGCTTTGTAAAGCAAGAGCAAAGGTTATAATAGATCTCAGAAAGAAAGAAAAGGAGTAGATCATAGAGTGCATGGGAATTTACGCCAAGTGCTTAGGAAGCCGCTGGAGGATTTAGGCAGAGTCCTTAGCTCACGTTTAACTCCAGGATAACTGAGGCCAGTTTCATTTACCAAAAAGAAAAAGAAAGAAGGGGCAGAGATGGGGAAACGGACTGTAAAAACCTGGCAATGCATTAGGGCACAGATGATGCCTCCTCCATTACCTCCCTTAATAGAGTTTGTGCCACTGGGGTTTAGAGAAACCTCTGTTATTCTATCAAGAAATTAAGCTGCTCCTACCCAAATTTGACCCTACTTAGCAAATCCTTATCAGTAAAAGTCTTGAAACTTCACACACACACACACACACACACACACACACACACAAACTACCAGTATCTCTTTTAGGCTCTTGTTAGACTGCGAACTTCATAAAGAGAGTGAAATAGTTACTGGATCCTTTTATCTGCCAGTCTACTGCATGGCAACTGACATATGATAATTATCTCGTAGTCTAGGAGAACTCAGAGGAATTAGTGCTTGTACAGTCGATACCCATCTTCCCCTGATTCTAAAGATGCCAGCTTTAAAGGGAGGAGAATGACAATGAAGCCAAGATTTCCCGAGCTCAACATTTTCACTGGCAGATCACGGGCCATCGCTTTAGCTGTCCTGTGCTGCTTTTTATTCCAATGTTAGAAACTCAAGTATATAGAAACTCAAGTCTGGCCTCTCTTGAATGACAATTGTACTCACTGGTGTTCACTTAAGGACAATCTAACAAGGATAACTCATCCATCAGACACGGGAGCCCTTCTCTGCATAGCATGTGTAAACGATGAATCCCCAAAGGAAATCTAAAGCATCATACTTACATATCCATATTCCAAATCCCAGCACCAGCAATAATTGCAAAACCTTACAAAACACGCCCTGAGGAAATCACCAATGAGGATTGTGACATAAGTGGTGAGAACATCAGAAACAGTCAGCCGCACAAATTCCTGTGGAAAAAGAAGACAGAGACATCTTCCAACGGCCTTAGTGTTAATGTCAGACTTGTCTTGTTTTGAAAGGCTATCAGCTTGAAGATGATGATGAACACGCAACAGAACTCAAGCAGCATACCCCAGAAGTAAAAAATTATTTGTCTGTATTTTTGTTGGTCTAAAAAGATTCCCTCACCATCTCCAAATTACTATACCAAAGCTTTTCTTCTTACTTTTTTAAATTCGCTTATAACTATGAAACACAAATAAAGTCAACTATGAAAATATTCACTGCAGAGGAATTTTAAGATGCCTAACTGGTACTAAATTGCATATTTAAAATAGGTAAAATGTTTGATGTGAAAATTACATTCCAATATAGTCATTTAAAAAGTGCTAAAAATCCTGATAGGTAATGGGATTTTAAATTTTACAAAATAAGTTAGATGATATGAAATAATTTTTTAGCAATGGGATTTGAAATTTTACAAAATAGGATATGTGATATGAAATAATTTTTAGTAAATCACACCATATAGGTAGAAATGATTATGCCTATGGATATGTGTATATATGTGGAAATGAATATGCATATGTGCGTGCATGTGGAAATAAAAGTTAAGATATGGATTTGAATTTATGAGCAAAGTACATCTATTATGAGTTAGTTAGAGAAGAGGGTCATTATTTCTTCATGGAAATCAGATGACAATAATTAAATGTTAAGAATGAAGATACAATCACACATTTTCCATCATCGTAGCTTGCTTCTGCTATTCTCTTTTTTTATTTCGTTCCAACAATTTATGCTTTAGGATTGAAACATTAAACCTAATAGGTCATAATTTTTCAGAAGTACTAGTGTTCTATGAGTCTTTTGGCTTTCCTTTCTAGCAACCTATCATCTCTCTTCCATAATAACTAGAGAGTTGTCTCATAAGACAGAGATGCACTTGGTAAAGGGCATTAGATTAGTTTCTAGCCTTGAACTTCAGAGCTGTGATTCCTAAACTTTCTGCCAATGTCATCTCCTTACAAGTCCACACACCATTCCAATAACACCTGAAATGTTATTAGCCACTATTTCTTTTAATTTTAATATACTTTATTTTTAAAATGCCTGGAACTAGTATAAGTCCACAGTGTTCTTCAGCTAGCTATAATGGAAAGACAAAGAATAAAACAAAATATTATTGAAAATGCATAATTCAAAAAATGTCTTAACATTCATTCCCATTAATTCCCACCAAGAATAGTAGTAGGAGTCTTCTTGGAAGTGATCTCAAAGAAAGAATGATACAGTAACGAAAGAGTGTCCTCCCCTTCCCCCCCCCCCCGCCCATGGTGACAGCTCGTAACAGTGAGCCTTCACCCTCTGGAGACCTGCACAGGCAGCTCTTTATATTCTTGTGTTGCTCTTCCCTTTGTCCCAACTCACTGGCTTTTGTTCACACCCTCATACTTCACCTTTTTCTATACCAGTGGGCCTTTGTGGTACTAATCGCTCTTAACTCACATCTTATCTCTGTTTATACTGATTAATAGACATCATTGCAACATTACTAACTAGGAAACCCTCTTTCACCTCTGTTATAAGGCCAGCTCTCAGAGCCCTCATTTTATCTTTGGTTACTATTGTATTTTTGCCTTTTTGTGGGTGTCATTCTTTTACTAATGATCTTCTCTCTCTCCATCCTCCATAGATAATGATTTTTTAATATCTTTAAAATATATCACAGTGCTTGGTGTTTAGCACTTGTTCGATACATATGGAATTAGCCTCAGGTTTCAGGAATATGGAATGAAGAGCTTTGAAGGTAATCATTCTATCTCCTGCTTCTTGGGTCCTAAATTTATCTCTTCTAAACACACACACACACACACACATTTTATTTCATTTATTATTTATAGGTTTCTATAAACATATATGAAATATGCAAGCCTGAAAAATTAGTTCCTCAATAAGTAAACAGGATGTGACACAGTTTGGGAAATTTTTTAAAGTAAAATCAAAGCTTTTCATTGTAGCATACATTTTGTACTCAGTCTTTAATCATGTATGTTCAGTACCACATCTATTTATTTAATTTTTCTCATAATTGAAATCACAACTAATTGGCCTTAACCCAATGAACATGAGATTAAGTTAGACATAATATCAATATTTGTTGAAATGATCTTAGTAAGTACACAGCAAGACGTTATGCTAATAATTTCCCAAAGAGGTTGCATTACCGCTGAATCTAAATGGTTGTCTAACAGAAGCATTATGATAAATTCAAAATTCTCTGCTCCCATAGAAAAACTAAAGTCAATTTACTAAATAAATGCACATTACAAATGTTAATAGAATGAGTTAAAACAACACACTTCTCAAAATAAAATCTGAATCTATACAAAAATAAGAGGACCCAAAAGGAGTCTTTGTTGGTTTTGTTTTATTTGATTTGGTTTGTTTTCCCCTGATTAGAAAACAAGCTATATGAAATGTTATTCCTTTTCTCTAGTAAAACACACTACTCTTAGATTAAAGGAATTTACATAATTGTCATGAAAACAAATAACTTAAAACAATATTTCCTCTAAGACTCAATTTCCTCTACGGCTTCAGGGGAAAATCACCATTTTATTCAGTAATTATGATTACTACTAATTCTAGTATTAGTATATGTTCCCCCAAGAAACAACTTTTATTTTGATGTTTTTGGCAAGTAACACTAAATAGAATTTCTTTGAAATATTAGCTTAAAGCTGTACCTAAATATAGGTGCTTTATTAGAAAATAAGCAGATAGTACAAATTTCTTCAGACCATTTCAAGCTATTGTCCTTTTAATGTATCACACACACACACACACACACACACACACACATAAAGGTAGACAAGAATACTGATATTATATGCAAATATAACCCTATATTGTATACAATATATATAAATATATATATAAATGTATATATATACATATTTATTTATTTCAGGGAATGAGTATGAGGATTGCATGAATTAATGTATATGAAACACAGAGATAGAAAATGCAGGGTGCTCAATAAAACTGAGCTGTTTTATTCATAAACAACCTGCTCTTTTATTCCTACCTGCTGATGGCATATTCTGTCTTCATAAAATTACCTGTCCCACCATTGTTTCCCAGCAGGGTCCTCGTGGTACATCTGCAGGATGCACATAAAAGGGAGGCCCGGTGGTATTCCCTGAGAGGGATGCGTTGTAGGCCTTGATCATGTTGGCCTCCCACAGTGTGATATTGGCCTTCACGTGCTTCTCTTCTTCAATCTACAAAGCAGAGATGGGAGAAGAAATCAGACAAGACAATTTCCAAAGGCTGTTCTAGCAATCTCAAGACTGGGAAAGTAATACACTGGTGGCAAGGACATTCCAGACAAAGACTCACCTTGTTGTTAATCTCATCCATCAGAGCAAGAATAAAAACATACAAGTTGCCTAAAAGAAGAGCAAAAATGCGTCCCAGAAGCCATTTCAGAGCAATGAGAGGATGATAATCTTCCAGTTCAGCAAATAAGTCAAACAGCGTTGGACAGAACATTCCCAGGAGAGACATAACCATGTTCATCTACCAGGAAACACAGGGAATGAACCAGGTTAACGAGATTTTAGAAGTTACTATGTTTTTCCTCAGAATTTGGGGGGCTTTTCCACTAGGTTCCTATGATCTTTTATGCAATGGAAAAAGACTTTTAGAATTTAATCTCAATAAAGCAATAAAGACCATATTCCACTCACATTCACAAGATGTATATGTGTATGAGATTGCATATGCGCCAGTAAAAATGATTTGTCTCCTTCTATAGTGAGGGATAAAATTTACATCGCTTTCTTCCCAGGGAACACATCTTGTTCTCCATGGTAACTGATTGTGATATGATGATGTGCTTCATGGTGAGTGAAAACAAATAGAAAATGATCTGCTTATGAAGAAGGTCCAAACTGGGAATACTAACTTATCAAACACCAGCACATGAATTAGTTTAATCAGCTACAATGGACAAACTCTTTAAAATTGCCTTAGGACTAGATATTTAAACTTAGGGAATGCAAGTTTTGAGAGAGAGAGAGAGAAAGAGAAAGAGAGAGAGTAACAAAAGGAGAATATATATATGTATATGTATGTGTATTCCACTATTGGGCATCTTTTTATTGTATTATTATACTAGATAAGATTAAAAAACACCACAGAACATAGGCTAGTTTTATAATGATGAAAAAAAGCTTTCAGGTAACTCTGTGTTTTCCCCAAGTTTTTGGCTCAAATTGTCACAACTGAACATTTTCCATTTTTTCCTTGAGTATTTATACTTGGAAAGATTATAACTACCAGACTATCCTTAGAAAGTAATTGCTATTACTTTTTATTAAAAGCATCCTATTATTATGGTCAACAAGATATAAAACTCAGCCTGGCATAATATTAAATCAGCTTGAAATAATTTTAGCCTCACACACACACACACAAAAAACAGCAGATGCTGTGCAATTGGGCATAAGGCAAATTTAAATTTTGTTTCATTATATTTCTAAAATCGTTCATGAGTCCCCATTATTTTCTAAGTTTGCCTCTAGGATTCAGGGGTTTCTAAATTCGACTTTCAACAAGTTCCTGTAAAGGATAAACCTTTTAATGATAATCACAGGCATCCATCAACAAGGCTCATTTATCCTAAAATAGTATCAATATAAACTAAAGACCAAAACTCCCTAATAAACTTCCCTATGCATAATATTACAATTAGAAGAGAGAATGTTGAAAGCAAGCTTGGTAAATGCTTTGAGTTCAAGTTAAAAAAAATCCATCTTCTTGGGCTGGGAAGGTGGCTCAGCGGTAAAGTGCTTGCCTTGCATGCATGAGGCCCTGGGTTCAATTCTTCAGCACCACATAAGCAGAAAAAAAAAAAGCCAGAAGTGGTACTGTGGCTCAAGTGGTAAGAGTGCTAGCCTTGAGCTGAAGAGCTGAGGGACAGTGCCCAGGCCCAGAGTTCAGGCCCATGACCGGACCCCCCCTAAAAGAAATCCATCTTCTGGACAAAGGGTGAACAAATGCAGCAATGGTACCCACTGGACACTACATGGGAGATGAACTCTACAACTTGTGAATGGGGAGGGAGGGAAAAACTGGGAGAGAGCAAGGGAAGGGGTGACATTGTCCAAAAAGAAAAGTTCTCAGTACCTGATTTACGTAACTATAATCCCGATGTACATTACCTTTATAATAACAATATTTTTAAATCCTCCTTCTTCCTGACTTACTTTCCATTACACATCGGATGTTATAGTCTCTTAAATGTATGGTTCCTCATTTCTATTGCTGCATATAAATACCTAGATTTCTTTTTTCAATTTGGAGCATTTCCATATGTAGCCTATAGCATTGCTTCTCTGAGACTTTTCTAACATATTCTACATTCATGGAGATTATTCTTAATGTTTAATTTTAACAATTTCCACGACGCTCTGCAGATGTTTCCTTGTGGGAACTCTATGCTGATCACAAACTGAACCTGAATCTGCATAGACTTTAAATATGCTCAAATTCACAATCATGTTCCATTGTATACTAGAACACGTTAAGAGAGAGGCCATGCCTTAGCAGGCACTCATGACCAGTGGAGTCCAGATTCTAAATTTCTGCCTCTCACCTCTTATGGTGACACAATCAATGGGCAGACCCTGAGGGATCACTTGACAAAGAGCTGGCCCTCTTACTCACATTATAGAACAACTGTCAGCTTTGGGGAGAAAGAGACAAGGGCGTGCTGTTCAACTTCCCAAGCAAAGAAGAAACAAATGAAAACCCAGACTTGCCCATAGTTGGCAAGCAGTGTGAATGCTTCCAGTGAAATGAATTTAGGAACCAAGGGCAGGAAAGTAGCTGTTGAAGAATTCAGGAAACTTAATCTTTCAGTGGCAGATCCGAGATCTTTGGAGAAAACAAAATGGCTTCCTGGAAAGACGGTTGGCCTCCCGTCACTGTGACTCTAAACCCGATTGCTGCTCAGTCTCATCCCAGCTGTAAAACAGAGTGCTGCGACTCCATCCTTTCTCCTATCTATTTGGAGTCTAATCTTCCATCACATCCAAAAGTGAAAGACAGTACAGATTAGGAGATAGGAAATGTGCATCAAGCAGGGTTAGCCACAGAAACAGGATGGAGGGATAGATGGAACAGCCTCATCTAGAGTTCCGCCTTCGACACACAGCCCTCCCAATAGCCCATGTCAGGTTCGAAGCAGGTAAAAAGCATGCAGAGACGAACTTCATTTTTCTCCCACCACCCCAGGGTGTCAGGATCTTGCTGTGCAAATTCCTGGGATCGTTTCACGGCCCAAAAGATGAGGTAGCCACTGGCACCGAGCGTCAGAAACACAAAGAAGTTAGCCAGAAATCTCAGGAATCTGATCAGATGGACGTTTTCTTCTACCTGGGCGGCTCTCTCTTCTGTGATAGCTTCCTGTACCGGGCAAAGCACAATTAAAAACAACAACAACAACTTTAGTTACGGAGAGTTGTGTGAACTCCGCAGTGTAAGAACTAAACATTTACACTAAATTTGATATTCAAACCCCAAGGAAATATTACCCATCAGGCCTGGCAAAGAAGAGAAAGAAGCAAAGATGCTGGCAAACAAAATGAACACTGAAATGGGATAATCTGCATTCTTAAAAACAATCGTGTTTTCAAGGAGAGGATCCACGGGGGAGTGGGAGAGGAAGGAAGAGAGGAAGGATGAGAGCTGTTCTCATCTTCAATGTGCACGTGCAGAAATGGTACCAGGGTGTCTGAGGAGACGGGTGAGGATGGGATATTTGGGGAAGAGGTGACATTGGTCAAGATGCCTTGTGCTCAGAAGCTGACATGTTGAAATGAAACCTTTCTGCACAGCTACTCAAAGATAATGAAAAATAAATGAATAAAAATAAGACACCTTCCTCCATGTATGTATGTAACACTGTATAATAAAGCTTTATAATCATTTTATATGATGAGCTTAGGGTGTGCTTGTAGATAATTCGTGAGGATGGTTCTTCTATTATTCAACCTATCTTATTCTGATTACTGGTGGTCTCCTGTTTTAACCGAACAACACTTTTTAAACCAAATTTAGAGGTGAAAAGTACACGCTGGATATTTCCAGGTCGTCATCAGAGCCAGAAGGCAGACACGTGAGTTCACCCATTTCTAACTGTCAAATCCTTTGTGAGGTAGCCCACATGCAGTGCCGCCAAGCTTACTCTTTAAAAAACAAGGAACAGACTCCAGAGATTTGACTCTTTACCTTAAAGTTCATCGTGATGGAATTGAATTTGTTGTCAGCTGTTTCGGGATTGCCTATGAGGTAGTCCCAGCTGCAGAAGACCTTCCAGCTGAAGTTGAAAGTATTGTCATCACCACCTCCGTCGTCACCAATATTTTTGGTCATCCTGTCAAGACAGGGAGTTAACCCTTGTTCACAGGCACATAATCTGTATTAGTCTTTCCTATCCCTCCTCTCTCTCCTCTTCATTTGAAGCAGTTTTGATTACAAGATTACCTTTATGCCATTTTCATACTATATTCAATGTGCTTCTAAAATATTCACCCCTTAGTATCATCCTGTGTGTGTGTGTGTGTATGCTTGTCCTGGGGCTAAAATGCAGGGCATGAAAGCTGTCACTGAGCTTTTTTGCTCAAGGCTAGTGTTCTACCACTTGAGACATAACTCTACTTTCTTCTTCTTCTTCTTCTCCTTCTTCTTCTTCTTCTTCTTCTTCTTCTTCTTCTTCTTCTTCTTCTTCTTCTTCTTCTTCTTCTTCTTCTTCTTCTTC